ATGCCCTTTTCCCACCGCTGGGGCGTGGTAAGCGCCCACCCGGCTTTGCCCGCGGCAGCGGTGCTGGGGCTGCCTGCCCGAGGGCGAGGGGGGAGCGCAACCCCCGTGCGGAGCGCGTGGCTGTGCCCTCCTTCCCCTTTTGCTTCCCACTTTCTGGGAAAAAATCCCCCCCCTCGCTTTCTAGGAGCTCGTCCGGGGCTTGCTGGGAATTTCACCCATCGCTTTCCAGACCAACCCGCCCCCCCCAGCCACATTGGTTCCCGGGTAATTGTCTTGTTGCACCGGCGCAAATGGGTGCCCTGTTTGCCCAGCGCGCACACCATTGCTTTTCGGCATTTCTGCCTATTGCTTTTTAGGCATTTCCCATTTCCGGGACACTTCCCCTTTGCCGGCCAGGAAATGTCACTGTTGCTGTCTAGGATTGCTTTTTCCCCTGCTTTCTAGGCACTTTCCCCTTTTGCAGTCCAGGAATTTCCCTAGTGGGATTGGGGGGGGGGTTGTTTGGTTGGTTTGGGGTTTGTTTGTTTGTTTGTTTGCGGGAACGTCAGTCCTGCTTCCTGGGAATTTTTCCCCTTTGCTTTCTAGTAACTCCCCGCTATTGCTTTCTGGGAAGCAGCCCATGTTAATTTGCTGTGAACACCGCCATTGCTTTTTAGGCACTCCCCCCCACTGATTTCCAGAACATTTCTCTTTCACTTCCTAGGAAATTTCCTTTTTTTAAATTTTTTTTTCCCATGCTAGGAAATTTCCCCATTTCTTTTCCAGCAATTTCTGTAGGGCTGCCTAAGAAGCAGGGCTGTAGCGAAGGTGCTCCTGCCCCTCCAGGCCCGGGCTTGCTGGCTTTCTGGGCACTTCACCCCTTCAGCTTAGAGGGAGGAAAAGGTTGCTTTCTAGGCAGTGACCCCAGGGCCGCCCAGGACAATTTCCTCCCGGTTTCCGAGGCAGCAGCTCACTCGCTTCCTGGGACCTGCCTCCCTCCCGCCGCGCCGCAACGTCCCGGCGGTCCACAGAGGCAGTGCTCGCTAGGCAATGCCCCACTGGGCACCCTCTGGGCACCATCCCTGCTGCGTGCCAGCAGTCAACCCCGGCCTGCCAGCAATCGTCCCCCTTTTTGTTTTTTCTAGGGATTTTTCCCTTTTGCTTTCCAGGAACTGGCAGTGTTACCTTTGAAGAATTCCCCCCCACACTTCCTTTTGCTGTCTAGAAATTGCCGTGTGCCGCTTTCTAGGCATTTCCAAGCTTTTGCGCGCCAGGAATTAGCCTCCCTTTCTGCGAGCGTGCCCGCTTTCCTTTCTGGAAATTGCCGTGTGCTGCTTTCTAGAATTGCCACGTGCCGCTTTCTAGGCATTTCCAAGCTTTTGCGCGCCAGGAATTAGCCTCCCTTTCTGCGAGCGTCCCCCGTTTTCTGTCTAGAAATTGCCACGTGCCGCTTTCTAGGCATTTCCAAGCTTTTGCATGCCAGGAATTAGCGTCCCTTTCTGCGAGCGTGCCCGCTTTTCTTTCTGGAAATTGCCGCGTGCCGCTTTCTAGGCATTTCCAAGCTTTTGCGCGCCAGGAATTAGCCTCCCTTTCTGCGAGCGTGCCCGCTTTCCTTTCTGGAAATTGCCGCGTGCTGCTTTCTAGGCATTTCCAAGCTTTTGCGCGCCAGGAATTAGCCTCCCTTTCTGCGAGCGTGCCCGCTTTCCTTTCTGGAAATTGCCGCGTGCTGCTTTCTAGGCATTTCCAAGCTTTTGCGCGCCAGGAATTAGCCTCCCTTTCTGCGAGCGTGCCCGCTTTCCTTTCTGGAAATTGCCGCGTGCTGCTTTCTAGGCATTTCCAAGCTTTTGCGCGCCAGGAATTAGCCTCCCTTTCTGCGAGCGTGCCCGCTTTCCTTTCTGGAAATTGCCGCGTGCCGCTTTCTAGGCGTTTCCAAGCTTTTGCGCGCCAGGAATTAGCCTCCCTTTCTGCGAGCGTGCCCGCTTTTCTGTCTGGAAATTGCCACGTGCTGCTTTCTAGGCGTTTCCAAGCTTTTGCGCGCCAGGAATTAGCCTCCCTTTCTGCGAGCGTGCCCGCTTTTCTGTCTGGAAATTGCCACGTGCTGCTTTCTAGGCGTTTCCAAGCTTTTGCGCGCCAGGAATTAGCCTCCCTTTCTGCGAGCGTGCCCGCTTTTCTGTCTGGAAATTGCCACGTGCTGCTTTCTAGGCGTTTCCAAGCTTTTGCGCGCCAGGAATTAGCCTCCCTTTCTGCGAGCGTGCCCGCTTTTCTGTCTGGAAATTGCCACGTGCTGCTTTCTAGGCGTTTCCAAGCTTTTGCGCGCCAGGAATTAGCCTCCCTTTCTGCGAGCGTGCCCGCTTTTCTGTCTGGAAATTGCCACGTGCTGCTTTCTAGGCGTTTCCAAGCTTTTGCGCGCCAGGAATTAGCCTCCCTTTCTGCGAGCGTGCCCGCTTTTCTGTCTGGAAATTGCCACGTGCTGCTTTCTAGGCGTTTCCAAGCTTTTGCGCGCCAGGAATTAGCCTCCCTTTCTGCGAGCGTGCCCGCTTTTCTGTCTGGAAATTGCCACGTGCTGCTTTCTAGGCGTTTCCAAGCTTTTGCGCGCCAGGAATTAGCCTCCCTTTCTGCGAGCGTGCCCGCTTTTCTGTCTGGAAATTGCCACGTGCTGCTTTCTAGGCGTTTCCAAGCTTTTGCGCGCCAGGAATTAGCCTCCCTTTCTGCGAGCGTGCCCGCTTTTCTGTCTGGAAATTGCCACGTGCTGCTTTCTAGGCGTTTCCAAGCTTTTGCGCGCCAGGAATTAGCCTCCCTTTCTGCGAGCGTGCCCGCTTTTCTGTCTGGAAATTGCCACGTGCTGCTTTCTAGGCGTTTCCAAGCTTTTGCGCGCCAGGAATTAGCCTCCCTTTCTGCGAGCGTGCCCGCTTTTCTGTCTGGAAATTGCCACGTGCTGCTTTCTAGGCGTTTCCAAGCTTTTGCGCGCCAGGAATTAGCCTCCCTTTCTGCGAGCGTGCCCGCTTTTCTGTCTGGAAATTGCCACGTGCTGCTTTCTAGGCGTTTCCAAGCTTTTGCGCGCCAGGAATTAGCCTCCCTTTCTGCGAGCGTGCCCGCTTTTCTGTCTGGAAATTGCCACGTGCTGCTTTCTAGGCGTTTCCAAGCTTTTGCGCGCCAGGAATTAGCCTCCCTTTCTGCGAGCGTGCCCGCTTTTCTGTCTGGAAATTGCCACGTGCTGCTTTCTAGGCGTTTCCAAGCTTTTGCGCGCCAGGAATTAGCCTCCCTTTCTGCGAGCGTGCCCGCTTTTCTGTCTGGAAATTGCCACGTGCTGCTTTCTAGGCGTTTCCAAGCTTTTGCGCGCCAGGAATTAGCCTCCCTTTCTGCGAGCGTGCCCGCTTTTCTGTCTGGAAATTGCCACGTGCTGCTTTCTAGGCGTTTCCAAGCTTTTGCGCGCCAGGAATTAGCCTCCCTTTCTGCGAGCGTGCCCGCTCTTCTGTCTGGAAATTGCCACGTGCTGCTTTCTAGGCGTTTCCAAGCTTTTGCGCGCCAGGAATTAGCCTCCCTTTCTGCGAGCGTGCCCGCTCTTCTGTCTGGAAATTGCCACGTGCTGCTTTCTAGGCATTTCCAAGCTTTTGCGCGCCAGGAATTAGCCTCCCTTTCTGCGAGCGTGCCCGCTTTCCTTTCTGGAAATTGCCGCGTGCCGCTTTCTAGGCATTTCCAAGCTTTTGCGTGCCAGGAATTAGCCTCCCTTTCTGCGAGCGTGCCCGCTTTCCTTTCTGGAAATTGCCGCGTGCCGCTTTCTAGGCATTTCCAAGCTTTTGCGCGCCAGGAATTAGCCTCCCTTTCTGCGAGCGTGCCCGCTTTTCTGTCTGGAACTTGCCACGTGCTGCTTTCTAGGCATTTCCAAGCTTTTGCGCGCCAGGAATTAGCCTCCCTTTCTGCGCGCGTGCCCGCTTTCCTTTCTGGAAATTGCCGCGTGCCGCTTTCTAGGCGTTTCCAAGCTTTTGCGCGCCTTGCGCGCCAGGAATTAGCGTCCCTCTCTGCGAGCGTGCCCGCTTTCCTTTCTGGAAATTGCCATGTGTTGCTTTCTCGGAATTATCCCCATTTCTGCTCTCTAGGAATTAATTTCCTTTTCTGGGAGCATGCCCTTTTTTGCAGCCTAGAAATTTCCACCCCACCTCCAA